ACTGGAAAATGCATTTATTGACTTTATCAATTCTAAAAATTCTGAATTCTACTCAGACGGAATTAATAAGTTACCAACACGTTGGGAGAAATGTATTGAGAGTATGGGAAATTATTTTGATTAAAGAACATTGCTTTAAAGTAACTAGTTTCTTTTTTTTTGTTTAATACCAAAATCCTGCATTATTTTCCGGACAACCCGATATGTTACGACAGCCGTGTGCATTTTGATTTTTTTTGTTCTAGAGGCGAAGCACCAGGTGCTAGCGAATCTAGCAAACTTTGCTTACGACCCTATAAACTATGAGTTTATAAGGAAGCTCGGGATAATTGACTTGTTCCTCGGAGAGCTGAGTTCCAACGATGAACAGCTAGCTGAGTACGCCATCGCTGGTATATGTAATCTATGTCTCGGTAATAAAATTGTTTTTATAAATTAAAATAAAAAATAAAAAAATCTTCCAAACATCCGTTCAAACTTTCAGATTTAGAAAACAAGGAACATATCATTTCAACACCGGCGGCCCTCCATGTCATCAAGGGTTGTCTTAATTCGAATAGAGAAGAGATTGTCTTGTCAGCCCTGTCAACCTTGATGTTTTTAATAACACCGAAGTCAAAACAAGGTAAAAAAAAAAAATCGATGATGGTAAATTAATAACTGCAAAGTCATCGTTTTTCTTTTTTCAGTTGTAACGAGAAAAAATAAACAAAACAATAATCTTAGTTCATTTACCTGTTGTTCATTCATATATATATTATTATAGTTATATTTAAATCATTCTGAAAAATAAATGAACATAGTAAAACAAAGTTGAAAATAACTTTGCATTCGTCAAGATTATAAATTATTTATAACTACATTGAAATTTATTATATATTAATAATTAATAAATATAATTTGAGTGGTTTATTCGATGAGTTGCTTGAGTAAAATATTAAAAATAAATACCCTTTAATAGGTCAGCGACATTTTATTGTCATCAATTTTTTCTAACATTTGCTACTGGTTTGATGAACTAATGAAAAGACAAAATTGTTTGCTTTAGTTTTTACAGAATTTTTGTTTAAATCATTTAGAAGACAAAAAAAAAATTTTTTTTTTACAGTTATTACGAGTAAAGAGACTGTTGAGATTGTCGTTGCACTTTCGAAGAACCCAAATCCAAGAGTGCACAATCTGGCTAAGTTGTTTTTGCAGGATTATTGCACAGAAGAGCAAGTGGCCGAGGGAGAGGCTAGCCTCGCATCGATTCTTTCGCTTCATCATGCACCTGAATAGGCTCGCCAGGTATTTAATAAGAGGCCTGTCGACGGTTTCCGAAGAGAAGGTCGTCTCAAAGGTCGACGTCGAACGTTTTGCCAAGCTTTCTGGCGATACGAACACGGTTCATTCCGGGGAAAACGCCATTGTGCACGGCGCGCTTCTCAACAGTTATGTCTCATCCATAATCGGCACAAAGCTCCCAGGACATGGGACGGTTGTGGTCTCGCAGAAGTTTCGCTTTCCGAACCCTTGCCGAGTTGATGAGAAGATAATAATTTCAGTTGAAATCAAAGGAGAACGGCGTAAATTGATGACATGCTTTTTTAAAGTCATGACAAAATCTAACCAAAAAATTGTGATGGAAGGTGAAGCTCAACTTCTCATGCCTGAAAAAAAATCTTTAAATTAGTTAAAATAAAAGAAAATGTAGTTGAATATATGTAATTTTATGTTATTAAATATATTGTACTTTTATTAGTGTTTTTATGTCTTTATAATATGCATACCTCAATAAGTTTCTTTAAAATATTGATGGTAAACTTCAGGAAGTCTTTCACATCAGTCATAAAAATTTCAGTATGAAAATAGTTTCTCCATACAGAAAAGGTTTTTTTTTTAAATTTCGATTATTTAATACAAATTGTTCCTGCAGTCATGAAGTAATTAAAATTATTTTAAATTTTTTGTTTCCTCAGAGTATCACCTATAAGTTATTGTTAATTGTGCATTAAAAAATATATTTCATCATATTTAATTGATAATCAGGAATGACAAAACCCCAGGTTCAACACTCCTTAGACTTCAATAAAACAACATGTAATAAGACTTTTTTTTATTATTATGTTACGGCAGCACTAGAATGCTACAAGCTACTTTGTTGTATATATTAATTTTATTTTATAAGAGTGGAAAAGTAACACCACTAAATCAACGTTGTACAGTCCTCACTAGGCAGGAAATCACAAGGTCATTGGCGCTTTAGGTATATTGTAGGATTATCCAGAATTATTCAGGATAAAAGGTGATGGATTAGGGATTGAATTAGTGGTTTTTATGTAGATGTCTATAAATTTCTTGCAGTTTTGAAGATAAATTGGATTTGAAGGTCTGTATGGAAAGTAATATGAAGTAGGGAGCTTGAAGTTTAAAGGATTTTGGACCAATCCAAAGTAACAGTACTGCACAGTAACTGGATTCTTCGGGGTTAAGTCTAAGCTGTTGTGCATATGATTTTCGTGCAGTGGAAACCTAGCTTTAGAGGATTATTAGGAAGTACTCAGGGCAAAAGTTGTTGGACTAGGAATTTTAGATGAGGGTTCAGGGTTTGGCAATGTCTGTATCGACTTCTTGCAGTTTTGCAAACAAATTGGATTTGAAGGTTGGTGTTATAGGCTGGATATGAAGTAGTAACTGTATTCTTTGAGCGGCCAAGTCTTAGAGAATGGGTAGAAGGATTTTGGAGTGGAGTGACTGGTTATATTGGAGGTTGAACGCTTAGTTGGAACCCACAGTTTGATTCTGTATGTCCTGATTGACATGTAAAAATAAGTACACACTGGGATTCTTTGAATCGACTCTTGGAATCTCCAGGGAATCTCAGCTGCGTCTAGCCTGAGTCTGAGCTGCCCAACTCATTGTTGCGATGAATCTGGGTGTTGCGGTCTAGCATTTTCGGACTCTTTTGAATCCCATGCGATGTGGGATTCTTTGACTCAATTTTGTGCAACATTTACCAGTGCGGAGGTAAATTGGAACAAGTGCTCTTGCTTCATTTGTTTAGTTGACGTTCTAGTGAGTCGTCTTGAAGATTTTGATAGTGTCTTGTATAAAGTGGCAGCTAATCTGTTAGCTGGAGAGAAAAATTCCTGAAAGTTAGTATCTTTCTTGGAAATTAGCCTGCCAACTTTCATTAAAATGGTTTCGAAATTGGTCGGGTACATCCTCAAAAAATGTCTGAACCCTGCGCCATCATTTAATCTTGTCCAAAAGATTTTTCCCGTGCTGATTCCCGCCATGAAATATTTGTCGAACCCACCATCTTTTTGGGCATTTTTAATGCACTTCCGATTGGATGCACTACGTGCAATGCAAAAAAGAGCAAGGGAAATTCCCGAGAGAGCTAGTTCCTCCGTCATTTCGCAGGCACCGATGAATGTGAACTGAATCTTGGTCGTGACACAGTTCTTTGTCACGGAGCAGAGTCGGGGCTGCATCGGAACAATGAATCTATGCCCCCTGACTCTGCTCCACAACATGAATCGATTCAAAAGGAGGTCCGAAGTCGTCGAATATAATGCACAATATGCTGCAAGTGCCTTTAATCAGTTCTCTAGGAATCGATTCAAAGAATCCCAGTGTACTAGGCTTTAGAGTTTTGATCTGTTGTTAAGTTGTTAACCTAATCCTTTGATTAGGTTATATCGTTAGTTCAATTCCAATCTTATGATGAAGTGGACAACATTGGTTGCTAGGCGAACAGAGGTGTTGAATTGAGGGAGAGATGATACAGCAGTGGGCGATAGTCATTTACTGTGATTTGGATTCGTTGAATTTGATGGTATATTTCTTGAACTGGTTTGATGGTCCTGGGGGTCTCCAAAGACCACTACTGTAGCCTGATTGAATTTGGGGTTTGATAGAAATGTCTGCAGAATACACGGGGTAAAGAATGGGTCCAAGGATGTAGCCTTGCAGAACATCTGCTTTGTGAATAGAGAAGGATGTTCCGATTCGAATTTGAAATTGGACAAATAGATTATAGGATAAGGCAATAAGTGAATTGATGCCCTTGAGTACAGAGCAAACCTGAATTACTTGCCTTGAAAAGCTTGCCTCACATCTAGAAAAGCACCTGATTAGAATTCCTTCCATTTAATGGGCAGTGTTATGATGTCTACCATCCATGGCAATGTTGAACGCTCGCCTGAGCACAAATTTATTGGATGGAATAGTACTGTAATTATCAAGGATGAGATATAAGTTTTTCAGGAGTTTTTCAAGGATTTGGCCAAACTGAAAGACGTCTAGGCTCTGTTTAATATTATTCAGGTCTGGGATTTCCTAGGTCTGGGTCAGATGTAAAGATGTCAGATAAGTAGAAATGCACATAGAGATTCTTTATCTTCATCAGAAATGTCCCAAGTGCTGTCCGCACAAAAGAGTAAAAAAATTTTTTTTGTTTAAATATCATAAAAGTTGAGTAGGTCTACATTTTAATTTCATCATTCTATTAATAATCTGATATTTGTAATTAGTAATCTGATTGCTATTGCTAAAGACTTGAGTCGTAAAAATGAAAATTTAGCAAGTTAAAAACTTTTTTTAATTTACTTCTATCAGCTTTATCTATTTGAAAACCTATTAAAAAAAGAATCAAATTTTTGCCAGTTTGACTTGTTTTTTTGTCTTATACAACATATACAAGATAAACATAAATGTATGTTAATTATCAAATAATAAAAATGTGATTGTCATTCTTTTTTTCAATATTTCCAACATAATATGAAAGGGAAACATATTTTTGATTTTAGTATGCAATTTAAAAAAAAATTATTATTATTATTTTAATTCATGACTAGTTGACATGTTTATAATTCAGTCCTGAATCAGCACTTGCGAAATCATTTAAAGAGGATTGTTGACATATTTTCTTCCATTCTCAGGTCATTAATCCAAGGATTTTTTTACATTTTTGCTTACTATCCACTACTATAAAATGGATTAGCATATTTCATTTGAAAGCAGTGAACAAGACGGAAATGACTGATCGACTGATCTACCTCGCTTGTATTTTCACTTTGATCCAGTAGGTGTTTTAAAAATTTGTTTTTCTAGAGATTTTAATAAAAACATTTACAGGTTTACATTGGCTGCTGCTAACGCCAATGCATTGAATCCATATGAATTGGTCTCTCCTGATGGGCGCACACCATGCGTTTGTGGAGTCTTCCTCAGCGGCCAAGTCAAGCCAAAGCAGCAGCCCACTGGATATCCGCTGGTCTTGAACGAATTTGATGATCATTACGTTTGCAATTCGATGGGCGTGAAACAATGCCAGACAAAATGTGTTGAACAAGTAAATAAAAAAAAATTGCATTTTTAAAACAATTAATGCGTGTTCAATTCACTAGTTTTCGTTAATTGAAATAAAATTAATAAAAATAAAAATTAATTGAAAGATATTAGTCATCAAATCAGTCAAGCGGACCATGAAAACTAGTGAATTGAATAAGTTTAAATGAAGTATATCTTCACTAAAGCTCACCTTGGCCATTTTAATAGTCGCCGAGAAACAAATAGATTACACGACATTTGAAAAATGGCAAAAATGGCAAAAAGGAGGAAAAATTCAAAAGGTGGGGTTGAGATGGGAAGTTGGTGTCCGAGTGGATCGAAGTCACGATAGCTCAGGTGGTACAGTAGCGGCGTATCTAGCCGAAGGTCGTGGGTTCGAATCCCGCTCGTGACATTGACTTTTTTATCTCAACAAAAAACCTTAATTAATTAATGCTTGTGAAACTTAAAATGTTTGATTTTGTATTTCAGTTGCTGAAATATCTCTCTGGAAACCAATCCAATGCTTGTGGTCTCCTAGACCGAGATGCTTATAAAGAAAGGGTAAGACAATTCATTTTAATGAAATAATTATTTTTTACTTACAGATCCATTTCACATTTATCTCCTTAATTTGATTTTGTTTTTCAATAAGTGAAAAAAGTGAAGAAAATTAATTCTTGTCATACAGGAGTCTACCCACCCATTGGGTTTTGTGGTCGAGGGGTCAAACCACTTTTACAATTCATTTTTCAAACCATTATCAATTAAAAAGCCATGGGCTCTGCTGGGATTTGAACCCAGACCTGCTAGCATGGCAAATTCAAGTCGTACGCGTTAACCTTGGCCACTGTGGTGCTCTGGTTGATTTTCAATATGTTGACCATTGATTTTTAGAGTTGATGTTGGATGTTGGTCCATGAGTCGGACTGGCACTGAGTCACTTATTGGGTCTGCTTGAATAATCCTGGTCCTATTATTTCTGTACCATCAGTTGTAGAATCATGATGACAAAGACTGAAAAATATGTTGCAAGGTCATTCTGATCCTTATGCTTTTTCTTTCATAGCTGGTTTGGCTTGTCAGACGTATCTTAACATTTTACCATCTTCAGTGCTGTAACGTTTGGATTATAAGCAGGGAGAGTCACGAAGTGAAAGCATAAACTCAGCACTGTAGATGGAAAAAGGGTCTGACGGGCAAAACTGGCAGGAAAAATCACCCAACAATAGGTTTATCAGACTCCATTAACTAAAATACCAAATACTAAATACTGACTAAAATAATCAGAAAAGTTCAACATTGCTATTTTCAAATGAGGTGTTTTTTGGTTATTTAAATTGTATGTAAATTCTTCCAGATATAAGAGAGAAAAAGTGAAAATTCATTTGGCCATCATCATCATTATAGTAGAAATAGTAATTGTTTTTTTTTCCAGGCACATCTTCTTGTGAAAAATTGTGACAATGTTTGGCACAACACGCGGATGTCGAGTGGACGAGAACTTTGCTGCAAGGACGGCAAACCTTATAAATGCCCTATATAATATATGTACCTGCTGAAAATTACTCTTTTCTATAGATAAAATTTTTTTATATTTTTTTACAATAAAATTGTTGCAACAAGTTTAAAGAACAACTTTTATTTAAATCCTTTGTAATTTTTTTTTTCAAAACTGGCCTTCGTTTCTGCATTAGCCACCGGACTTTAAAGCTTGAATAAAACAATATGTGGAGGAATGCCTCCGTCCCGGTACCAATAGGGTCACCAACCTGGACGCAGCCAATCAGCCAGCCAGGTTTAAGAATAATTTTTAAGAATTTTTTTTCTTGATAAACGAGGGTCTTAGCAGAGATGTGAATAAAAACCACATCGAAATAATGTGTAAAAGTCTACATCTCCTAAACCACCAGAGCATACTTCGCTCTGGAATCCCTCTTCTCCACCCTGCAAGAAAGCAGTGACCGGACCGGCAGTAGACATCTACACAGACAAAAGGTCAACTAGAGAAGACTGGAATAAATAACCAAATAACAATAACAACATCAATAATTTTATGCCTTAGGATCAAATTTATTTAAGCTTTAAAATTTTAATAGCAAAGTACATATTTGTATTTATAATGTTGTTTGTTAAGTCTTATAAAGTTCTATGTGGCATAAAACATTAAAACTCTTCGTTATTAAGTCTGATCTAGTCTCCAAAAAATGAAACAAACTGTAGTCTATTTGTTTTGGTAATTATGGTTTCAAGATGGCTTGATTTTTGAGTTGGTAGAGTGCCAAAAATAGTTGAACTGGGTTTGACCCGGTTAAAAGTATCTGAAATGCAGTGTAAAATTGGCAAAAAAAGGTCTAGGTGGATAAAGATGGCAGATAAATTACACAAAAAATAAGAAATGAAAGACTCAATTATAATTTATTTAAAAAATTATATTACAAGAAATCACAAATAAAGTTATTTCACAGAATCTAATTTTCCATTGATTTCAAAACTATTTGCAAAATGTTATAATTATAATAATACAAATAGGCATCCAAATTGGAGTTTATTTTTCAATTTTGCTACTTTTCTGGTGATGTAGTGTTGATTGGGTCCATTGATAAAGATGCTTGTGTTAACTAGAGAATAAATAAAAATTAATTAAATTTATATAAAGCAGTTATATGAAGTGAAATGCTAAAAAAGTTAATTAATTAAAAAAAAATTGAATTAAATCATATTCACCAGTAAAGCGAAAAAATGTTACCCCATGCGCCACCAGGTTAAATTTCTTTTCCATCAAACTTTACAAAGAAAATGTTAGTCAAAAAATTTTTTTCTGTAATTTAAGCTCCCTTTGTTCAAGCAAATAATAAAGTTTACCTTTTTGGGCTGGTTCCAAGGCTGGGTCTCAGTCGATCCGAACAGGACGAAAATGGAGTTGCCGCAGAAGAAGATGATAGCAGATGTTACAAACACTGTCTGCCACTCTTTGTTATTCGTCTGGAAAATTTCAAATTAAAAGTTATCTGAAAATGATTGTTATTCGATAATTACTTCGTCTGTGACAATGTAACCGGCCACTGTAGGGCCAAGTATTGAGGCGATGTTGGCCAGGCCGTTTGTGATGCCCATAAGAACGCCGGCAAAATTTGGCGATAGGTCGAGGTGGTTGCACAGGTATCCTAGGTATGTACCTGTTAAAAATGGCTTCAAAAATTATAAACTGTCTTGGTTTTAGGTGAATTAGTTTTAAAAACAAACCTGCATTAAGAGCGACTGCAATGGTCAGCAGGATGATGGCCTCAGTGGAATTGGTCTGCTTGAAAAATAGAAGCATCAAAGCGCAAGCTCCACCGTAATGAGCTTGAAATTTACAAAAAATAATTTAGCCTTGAGCAAGATCTAAAAAAGTTAGGTAGTTCCATGAACCATATTGAAAATTGTTTGTTTTTGACTAGTTTATTGCACTCCAGATGAAAAGTTTCCATTATTTATTTTTTAAATAAACTGCTAAGTTAAAAAGAATTGTTAATGCATGATCCAAGAAAATAACAACTTGGAATATAACTTAAGAACTTAAAAACTTAAAATTAACCACAAATAAGCTACTTTCCCCCGTTTCAATCCAAGATTATCAGAAAACAGGCAGACCAGATGTATTTAACAAAAATATGTAAAATTTAAACTTCTGTCATGGATGAGTAAATATTTCCTTTGCTCAAACACTAAGTCCATACAAAAATTGATGTATTTTATTAAAAAGGACATTGGGTCTAAGAGACGCAGAATATTTGATAGAGTGCTCTACCAAAAGTTGTATTTAATCTAAACTGAAACATAAAATACTGAAGTGAATAATGTCTAATTCAGTAAACTGAAAAGTTAAATTTAAGACCCATAGCCGAATAAGAGAAGATCTTGTTCTTCACAATGTACATTCTTTCCTTAAACCTTCCATAGAATTATCTTAAAAACAATCACCGATGCTGTTCCACATTTTCCTTGAGAAGTTCAGGCTCAGCCATTTGCGCCTGTTCACCATGTCAGCCAGAGCTGAAAAAATGAGTGTGCAGAGCCACATGGCGATGTAGGGCAGGGATGAAAGCATGCCGTTCTTCAAAAACGGAAAAAAACAACAACATAAGAATGTTGTAAAACTTGTATGGTTTGTTTGTCACCTCTTGGATGTTGAAATTCAGCACTCCTTTTATGTAGCTTGGGATCATGGTAAGAAGAGTCCAGAAACCCCAATTTTGAGCCATGTGTACCACCAAGAGGGCCCATAGTGGTCGAGATGTGATAATATCGCCCCAAGGAGGAGACGTCCTTTCCTTGAAAAATAAAATTAGTAGAAATCATCTATCATCGTAATTTTCTTTTACCTTTGTTTTGGGTGAATCTGAACCGAATGTTTTCTCAATGTAGTCTCTTTCTTCTTCAGAAATCCAATTGTGTTGTCTAGGAGAGTCGGCAACAAACAGTAGGCAGAGGATGCCCCAGATCACTGCAGCAGCTCCTGTAATACGATATAAAAATTAAACTTAAAATTAACTGACCTTAAATGAACACGAACCAGAATAATAGTAGATTGAAGGCCAACCGCCAGACCCAACAGCTAAATATCCGCCGATTCCGAGCATCACAATTGTACCAAACTGAGATCCTGGGGAAAAACTTAATTTAAAAAAAATAATGAATACCATATTTATTTAATCTTTTTATAACAAAGGCTGCTAAATTAAGCAATTTTTTCTATTGAAAGCTTCCTCAAAAGTTTAAACAAAAGTTTAAATGTCTGCATCTACTAAAATCTTATTCAATCCAATACCTATAATTCATCATTTGTGATATATGACATTTTAATATGTCACTAGATGCAGGAGCATAGGGACATTTGCCTAACAGGATTTTTATGTTAATGAATTGTCAATAATTCTACACTAAACTAATCCTTATGAAACCCTAATCTGTAAAAAAGATTAACAATTCGTTTTGTCAACGGTACATCATTTCTAGACATTCAGCTAATTAGTTCATTTGAGGCAAGTCGTAATGCTTTGTGATAAAGAGTTACACAAAACGTAGAAACAGGACCAATTCATACATTTTCAAGAGAGCTGAAAAAAGATTCACAAAACTGTGATTGAATTTATTTGTAAATTTTAGTTTCTGACAATTTCCATAGCCTAGTGTTTTTTTAATCAAGCTTTTCTTCGTGATGATGTTTGGCATTTTGGCTTATTTTCATTGGCTCTTACCAGACAATTAAAGTAATTTTTCTTTTTTGCAAAAAACAGAAAATGGTCTCATCTATGAAGGTAAATGCAAAAATGTTGTCTCTGATATGTACCAAATATACCAAAAGTTTATTTGTAACCAATAAATTAATAAATCTGTAACCAGTGGCAAAGTGTTTACTGGAAATTAAAAAAAAAAAATTGGGCAAGATCCAGTTATCTCAGCTTCTTCAGAATAAGAACATGTTCTTCAAATCCATATTTTACAACAAGGAACAGAAATTGATACTTAACAAATAATTAATAATTTCAAAAATCCTATCTTACAATTAATTAAGGTTTTTAGTTGAGATAAAAAAGTCAATGGCACGAGCGGGATTCAAACCCACGATCTTCGGCTTGATACGCCGCTGTTCTACCACTTGAGCTATTATGACCTCGATCCACTCAAACACTAACTTCCCATCTCAACCCCACCTTTTGAATTTTTCCCTCCTTTTTGCCATTTCNAAGATAAAGATTTAAAGTTTATTGGTAAAGAACACATAAACAAAAGTAAAAGGATAACTAGTTAACATTAAAATACATTAGCGTAAAAAGAAACGTGTTCGTAGGACCGCGTGGTGGTAACAACTAAAACTGTCAGCTGGGGTCCAGATAGAGGGGAGAGACAGAGTTCCCGCCATGTAGGGCCTCCGTTGACGTAGTGGCGGTGAACATCCTACATACATGATTAGTTGTTAATTTTTGTTTTAATATGTGCTGTAGTTTGGCATTTTTAGACTGCTTTGTTTCCCTATCTACCCTGTTTCTCTGTCAGATACATTTCGGATTCTTTACAGTCGTACCTCTCCATGCTTATAACCCTAATGACACAGTTACATCCAGAAGCCAAAGTCTCTCATTAGGTTAGTTTTTATTGTAAAATTTCATATTTTGACACAAGTTGAATGTTATTTGTCAAGAATTGTTTAATTAAAAGAAAAAAAATGCGTAATGGCAATTGATAGATAAATTGTATGAAGAAGTAAGGTCATTTAGGGAAATTCAAATCCACATTTTCTTCACCAAGTGGTTGGTCCAAGCCGTCAGGCAGTGCTGCTCCCTGCTTATATCCCTGACAAACACTTTGTAGCCTGAGAAGTATTGCTTCTATGACAAAAATATATCTCCTTGAGTTAAATTAAACTATTTTTGTTGTAGGATATTTATTTTATAAATAACAGTTACATATTAACTGTTTTCTTAGAAAATACATTTGTAAACAAATTAACTAAAAAGATACAGAAATAAGCAAGGTCATTTAGGTCATTATTTTTCGTCAAGAGGGGGTTCTATGCCTTCAGGCCGTGCCTCTCCCTGCTTATACCTCTAACAAACACTGTTATATCCATAGAAATATCTCAATTAGGTGATTTATTTTTTTTAAACTGTAATAGTTCATATTTGAGCACTAGATAAATGTTATCTGACAAAAACATAAACCCATGAGTTAAATTAAATTTTATTGTTATAGGCAAAACATTTAGATAACGTTATTATATTAATTAAACTAAATATTAATTAAAAATTATTCACTCTTCCCTGAAAAACTACAATGATATATAAAATGTCAGAAGGGTAAGAGATAACTAAAGTTGTTAAGAGACATTGGGTCTTCGCGAAGAGGTCAAGAGGTCTTTAGGTTGTCGTCATCCTTTGTAATCAGTTAAACCCAAAGAAGCTAAAGTCAATAAAAAAAGGGGCCAGCTGAGGAGAAAAATTCGTTTCGGAAAGACCAGTAAAATATGTTTAACCTTCATTTGGCATGAATATGGCTTATATTACAAAAAATAGATCTTTCAAGTTAACGTAATCGACAATAATTAGCTCTTTTAGGGAAAAATACATTTATACTTATAATGACAGAAAGTCCATCAATACTGCCATGAAGTTCACTAATTTCGTGGTCCGCTTGACCAATTAATATATTATCCTTTCGAATCCCGCTCGTGCCATTGACGTTTTTATCTCAACTAAAAACCTTAAGAATTGTAATATATTAATTGGTCAAGCGGACCACGAAATTAGTGAATTTAATGATTTAAAATGAAGTATACTTCACTAAAGCTCTCCGTGGCCATTTCATTTGTCGCCGAGAATCCAATCCGATTACACGACATTTGAAAAATGGCAAATTCAAAAGGTGGGGTTGAGATGGGAAGTTAGTGTCCGAGTGGATTGAGGTCACGATATCTCAAGTGGTAGAGTAGCGGCGTATCTAGCCGAAGATCGTGGGTTCGAATCCCGCTCGTGCCATTGACTTTTTTATCTCAACTAAAAACCTTAATTGACTGCCATGAAGTTTACAAAACATAAGGATTAAGGACATGTTCATAAATATGACAAAAACACATACTAAGACCAACTACTAAAGATGAAGCAAAATTAACGAGAAATTGTAAGATTTTGCCTTGGAGAATATGCTATAGAAACTGAGGGTTCTTCATGTAACATGATTAATATAATTTATTTAAAAACTAATTAAATTTCTTGTTGAAAGTGTGCTTTATCCGTACTTTATCATAAATAATATAACTTAAGTTAAAAAATTGCTCTTACCTCCGAAAGCAAAAGCGAACAGCTTTCCCCTTTCAGTTGGCACAGCCCATTTTGACATGTGCGTGTTGACGCAAGGATACAAGAACCCCTAAAAAAAGTCCTATTTTAACGACAAAATACGGTTTGGACGAAAAGCTTCAGCTCGTAAACTGACTTGGCCTAGGCCCTGCAAAACCCTGCTTGCGTACGCAGCGTAGTATCCTCCTCGGAGGGTGACCAAGGGAAAGAGCAGGGTGGCAACGCCGCAGAAGAGCATCGCGACCGCGAGGAACTTGGACGGCCCGTACCTGTCCGCGATCACGCCCGCCGGGATCTGAGTACAGAAGTAACCGAAGAAAAATGACCCGAGGAGTTGGCCTTTCTCCTTCGTGTTCCAGTCGATCGTCTGGAAATGCAGGTTAAGAAAAAAAATCAAAAAAATAGTACCTCGATTTGCTTGTCATTCCTTACCGGATAGTCTGTGTTGGTTGTGTTGCTTGTCATTGCGACAATACCGACGGAAAAGTTCACTCGGAGAGCGTAAGCTATTGATATTCCGAGGAACATCAAGAATATCTGCTCGTGTCTCCAGCCGATCATCCCTGAAATTTAGAAACTCTTATATTAAAAATAAAGCTCCACCATTCGACATTGGACACAAAAGCAGAATTGCAATCTGACAGATAAAAGATTGAAATGAGCCAACATGATAAATCGGGTGCGCCAGAGTGAGACTACGAGATGCGCCTAGGAACCAGATCTATTGTTCTAAAGCTTAGATAAAAAAAAACAACTTGTGGCATGAAAGGTGGGACAGAAGCACAAAGGGAAAGCTAACCCACGGGTTCTAACCAGTCTTGCGGATCCCCCAAATTCTGAGGACACGGAAATTTCAAGGCTTACATGCACCAGTTCTATAGAGACCATAGAGAGAATATATTAGAGAGGGAGTGTGTGTGTGTGTGTGTGTGTGTGTGTGTGTGTGAGAGAGAGAGAGAGAGAGAGAGAGAGAGAGAGTGTGTTAAGGAAAGAACATTTAAGAAAGGAAAATGGCAAAGGTTGGATCTGATCCGTCACAGAGAGGCCCATAAAAAAATCAACTAATGATTATAGATTTTCTCATTTGCGTAACCAATATTAAAGATTGGCCAAGAACCGCTTGAGCGCATCAATTAAAGGAAAAAGAAATCTCCGGTCGATGATCGTGAACTCACTTAAAGACAATAAAAGAAAATCTTTTAACGTTGGTTTGTAATTAAAGAAAATATGAGAATGGCAATAAAATGTTCTTTCCTTCACCCACACGCCTTCTCACTCACTCTCTCTCTCTCTATCTGTATTGCTAGCTCTACCTCTCTTTACCTGTTTCTCCTATTCCCACACCCTCTTTGTTTTCATTTATGTGTGTTTCTATGTATGGTATGGTAAAAGAGTTTCTACGTCTTTCGGCTCTTCATTCTATCTCTCAATTTTTTTTATCGGTTTAAAGGGATTTGGAGGGATGCAAGCTGTTGGATGAGTGGATTAAGGTTGTCGGAGTGATTTATGGAACTTATGATAACTGGAGAGGATAGTGTCGTATTCGGTGGGTTTACTAAGGTCGTTGTGGATTGTCTCATTCCATATAGTAAAAGGTACCAGCGAGGATTTTCCTAAGGATTTTAGACTCGGCAGAAGTCCAGTGCCAGTTCATACATCCAGACCGGTTTTAGTACAAACTTCTTTTTCTTTACGAGGGTTCGCAACAGCAGAGGTTATATCAACCCTCGGGGTGCCGGTGTTTTTGAAAGAAAAAAAAAAAAATTGCAAGTATGTCGCGTTCGAATGCTGCGTCGCTGGATTCGAACACGGGATCTTTACCTTACCGCGATGAGCGCCGTGTCAACGCCTAAAGCGTTGCGTCCACCGACCAAAGTGTTAAACTATTGTAAATTAATCTATTTATAGTGTTTGATCTTTTGTCAAGTAGACTTGAGAAAGGGTACGTCTCATCAAGTACGGGAAGAAGTTACAGGATCGATGTGGGTCAAAAGAATTCACAGCAAAGGTATAGAAGTGTCAGGGTGCGTAGGAAAAGACCTACTTCCAAAAAAAACACTACTTTGTGGGCCACAGACTTCTAAACGATGAATAATACGTGAGGAGAATAAAAGTTTGTCTGAGTCTTTTCATCGTCACCGAAAAGGCCTTTGATAAAGTATGGCACCCAGGTCTCGTAAGTAAAGTAAAACATATATTTCTGATACCATGTACCGCATACTCCAGTCCTACCTCACAGGTCGCACCTATTCTGTACGACAGGGTGAAACTTACTCCCAAATCCTTGGAATGATATCTGGAGTACCCCAAGGTAGTGTGTTGGGGCCATTTCTTTATCTACTTTTTTCGAGTGACTTCCTAACCAACCCAGCTCTAAAAATAGTTCACTCTGCAGACGATGTCACTGTACTATCTAAACACCACACCAGCCAGGAAGCCCGTACAGGGCTGCAGGACTTCGCGGATGGTGCAGAAAATGGAGGATAAAAGTTAATCCAAACAAGTCGCAGACTGTACAATTCACCTATTGCCGCAATGTGACAAGTCATTCAGCAACAGGGAGAACCGTACCACTTGCATTATCTGTTCGCTATCTCGGCCTACAACTGGATCATAAATTAGTATGGGATGTGCACATTAAAAATGCTGTGACACGAACACGACACCGGATGTACTCCTTACAACATCTCCTGACCAGCCAAAATATATCCCTGCATATAAAACGCTTGATTTATCTAACAGTAATAAGACCGATTTGGCAGTACGGCTGTTCAATATGGTCCTCGGCATCAGATACACAAATAAAGAAAATCCAAATCCTTTGTCTGATAACTGCGGATGGTACGAACGCAACGTCGCCATTCACCGGGATTTGGATATACCAGATGTCCGGACGGTAATAAAGGACTCATACGATCGGCACAATGAAAAAATACTGTCACACTATAACCCATTAATGCAGGATATCGCCAACAATCAGCCACCCCCGAGACATCTAATACGGTTAAAACATAAAAGGCACTCTGATCTGGCTAACGAAACTTGAATAGACAAATGTGAAAAAAAATTATTGTTACTTATTTCTTATTTATTAATTTATATGCCATTATAGTATAAATCGGTGCTTCCTATTTTTAAATACTATGCGAGGTGAACATTGGTTAAAAGAAACAATTAAACAGAAAAAACTAAAATTTACTAGTTTTTCTCCTTGAAAATTCCAATTTCAAACCGGTTTTACTGTAAAATTGAAATTATTCACGTGGCATGGCAAAGGCCATACTTTCTTGCAAGAACGGATATTTTTATTTAGAACAAAAATCATAATAGTCAAACATTGGGAGAATCTTCTTCTTCGTGACAGTGGTAAATTACAACTTGTTACAGATCGGTTGTACACACTGTTATGCAATAACATTTGTTATTATCGCAAGGAAAAAACTAGTAATTATATGCACAGATAAAAGAACAATCTCATCCAATAACTTCTTTTTGCTTCATTTATTTTTAGCTACAACTGTATATGTATTATAAACAACCAGCAGATTGAATTTCAATTTATGTTTGTGGCATTACGTGCCTTTTAGAGAAAGCTGCCCATAACAGCCTGTCTGGATTAATTAAATTGTATTAATCGTTTAAGAGTGCTCTTATCATGTTCTTTTTAGCCCCTTACTTGGTAATTGTGGGGAATGGAGTATTTGTGTGTTCTTTTTCATCTCCTCACCTTCGACTCTACTTAAAACTTGCACCATATCTGGACACCAACAAGTCAAAAAAGTCATCTCCCGTGTTTCGATTGTTCATTTCGTACTTAACAAAATTCACTTCCTTAGAAATATTCATTCTCGGCCATTTCTTTACTACTGGACATTCTGTTTATCCAAACCAATCGGAGGAGTCGTATGCTGGAATATCGCAGGATTAACTAGCTTAACTTTTTAAAATTAAATGTTCTACACGTAAATGTTTATAATAAACTTGTTAATATTAAACCGAAAACTTCTCTGGGATATGATAGTGTATCTGGTCATTTTTTTAAATTGTGCAGTCAGTGTTACTCAGTCTCTAACATTGTTGCATAACTCGTCATCGAGAATAGGATTTATGCTAAATATTTAGAAGGTTATCTATGTAACCTCTATTTATAAGAGCGGTAATAAGTCAAATATTAAGAACTACCGTCTCATCTATATAATTTTCTCAATAGAAAAAGTATTAGAATCTATTATTTATGATACGACATATCCACTTTGTCTTTATATCCACTTATGTCACAATTGATCCAGCAACAGCATAGTTTTGTTGAAAACAAGTCAGCATCTACCAATCTTAATCTACCATAAACACAATATAAACTGCGCAAAAATGAATAAAGATATTTTTCATTTATTCTTACTCTATTAATTTCAATTAAATTAACCGATATGTTCTTGTTAATTGGGTAAAGCTTTTTTTTTTGTCTTCATTTATTTTTATCTACAATTGTACATCTATTATGAACAACCAGCAGATTGGATTTCAATTTATGTTTGTGGCATTACGTGCGTTTTAGAGAAAGCCGCCCATTAGCAGCCTGTCTGGATTAATAAAATTATATTAATCATTTAAGATTGCTCTTACCATATTCTTTTCAGTCCCTTACATGGTAATTGTGAGGAATGGAGTATTTGTGTGTTAGTGTGATTTTGTAATTTACTATGAAAACGTCTGTGATATGTTTTGATGGATGAGAAAACCGTTGGCGTATGAAGATCTCTGTTATTGGTTACGTAAAAAGGAGCATAAAAAATTAGTCTTAAAATTTTGGATTGAAAACTTTGTAATATTTGAATATTGGAATATTTGGGCAATCCATAAAGCTTGGCACCCGTTCATCCAAATAGGTTTGAGTAAGTATGAGTATGTCGAAAGTTTTGATTTACATGGTAATTTTGATTGTCGGTCGGGTAGGTAACAAAGCATTTTAAATAGTTTGTTAAAGTTTTTTAATCGTGTGTGTGAATCCAAATTAGTCTTCTGTCCAAGGTAAGTCCTAAATAGTTAACTTTGTTGGATTGAGGAACAGGTTCATTGTACAAGTATATGCGAGGACAAGTCTCAAGCCAGAGTAACTTCGAGGGGTTAAACTTTATTTTCCAAAAATTGCTCCATTTTTCAATTGTGGATATGTGGTTTTGTAACATAAGTGAAGCTTGTCTAGAAGAGGGAGGACTTGTTAATATGGCGGTGTCATCTGCATATGTGTCGGTAAGTGCATTCTCATTTATGGGTGTATCAGACGTGAAAATTGGGTACAACAGCGGAGCGAGTATTGACCCTTGTGGAACACCTGCAACCACTTCGTCCATCTGAGAAGTCTCTTTACCTTCGTTTACTGCGAAAAAGTTTTCCTTATGACATGATTGTATAATATAAAAATATTAATAATACAGGCGATAATAGGCCTAGGGTAACAATAGATATGCGAAGTTGATGAGTAGTGGAATGATGGGCTCGAAAGCCAAATTGTTGGTCTGGTAAGATGTTGTTTGAAGTAACAATTCTAATAACTTAATGCACATTGCTATAAATTTAACTAGAAATCTACGATGTATTTTTAATAATCAAAACCCTTAAAAGAAAGAAGAGAACTAAAATTTAACCAAACTATAATGATCAAAATTATTACAATTAATTAAGGTTTTTAGTTGAGATAAAAAAGTCAATGGCACAAGCGGGATTCGAACCCACGATCTTCGGCTAGATATTCCGCTGCGCTACCACTTGAGCTATCGTGACCTCGATCCACTCGGACACCAACTTCCCATCTCAACCCCACCTTTTGGATTTTACCTTCTTTTTGCCATTTTGCAAATGTGTAATCGGATTGGATCCTCGACGACAAATGAAATGGCCACGGAAAGCACGATAGATCAAGTGGTAGAGCAGCGGAGTATCTAGCCGAAGATCGTGGGTTCGAATCCCGCTGGTGCCATTGACTTTTTTATCTCAACTAAAAACCTTCATTAATTATATTAATTGGTCAAGCGGACCACGAAATTAGTGAATTTAAGATCAAAATTATATTTAAATTACAAAAAAGAAAGAGAAAAGCAGAGTTTCTTATCAGTCGCTTGTTTGAAAAAGTTTTCTTCGGAACACATTTTATGAAAAATAATTACCAAAATAATTGCTGTAATTACATGTCCAGTTTACCTTTTTTAATGAGGAAAATTGATTTCTGAAGGAAAAATTTCCGTTCGGCCTTATTACAAAATTCCGTTTCTTTTTCTCGGACACCTGTCTTAGCAGGTTATCAGAATTTCAAGTAGAGAGGTTAGTGATTGGGGATAAAACAGGAGGCTACAAGGCCTTCTGCACATCAACCTGAGTATGCTCCCCGTTTTTCATAACTCACTGGCCAGCTTCGGGTTGTTAATACCCCCATAGCCTTGTCAACTTTCCTTAGTGCTTGTGATTTTTCCTGTTCTAGTTACAAGAACCTGCACTTACATAGACCTTCACAGAAACATAAAATGTGGAAAAAAGAGAATTTATGCAATGCAAAATATTTTTTTTTATATTCAATTTATTCAAAATATTTCTACTCACTCAAAGTGTTTGTCTTCTGTGTAATTGTGCCATTCTTGCATGTCGTGTTGAGTGCCAGTGCGATATTGCTGTTTTATGTTTATATACGTTGGATTTTGAAGGGGTGGGGAAGGAAGTCGGGATAGAAAGACATTTTTCTATGAGGAGTCGGCTTCTTTGAGATGAAAGAAGCCAACAATGGGAAAAAACGTCGGTAATGGTTCGGCATGATTATTCTTTCAGGATTATATAGACGGGGATAATTAGCGAAAGGAAAGCCAAATTGTTGAAGAATTAGATTATGTAGAAATGTTTGATGTGTAGAATGTGATGATTATTTTATGTTATATTATATTTTGTCTGATATATCTCTCTCTCCGAATAATCATTGACTAACGGTCACTAACCATCACACATTGTTACTATTGCTATGTTATAAGTATTTTATCAATAAGAAGTTATTTTGTCAATGTAGTAGGATTTTTTGGAAAAAATCTTCACTAGAGGAAATGGCCTTTCGCCCTACCTGAAGCATTGCAAAAATCTCTTTGCAAGCTGAGGACAGCTTCAATCATGGGGATAGAGGAAGAGTTGAATGAACTGACTCAGCTGACTCTGCACTACGACTTCATAAAACCCGGCGCTTATCTTAAACAGAGCGTATTTCTCCCCGTTCTTCGGACGTACGACATCCATCTGACGAATCTCTCGGCCTTTGCTGTTCTTTAATCTTCTCTGTATGTTTTAAAGTAAATAAGATCTTTTTTAAAAAACGGCCTTTGGTGTTCCAAACTTATAACTGTTGACTTCCGTCAGGTCCTCCATGCAGGTCCAAACTTCGCCTTCACCTCGCCTGAGGCCTTTAGTGCTGCCTGTCTGTCGGAGAAGATGGCTATCTGTATTCCTAGCCTTTTTATTTCTCTGGCACATTGTTAAATTGCTATAATTTCAGACCGGAAAACGAACATATTTACCTAGGTTTAACGTCAGTTCGGTCTTTGGATTCATACCGAAGACTCCAGCCCCCGTGCGCTTGTCAGTTTTGGAACCGTCAGTGTACCAGTAGAAGTTCGCCTTAAGCGCTGTTCTTTTGATCCATTCTTCCCGTTCCTGTACCTTGTACTTTTTAGTACAATTGTATTTTGGTGAAGGGGCATCGATTGGTATGCCTAAAATGCCATCTGCTTGTATCTCCTCCCGCAGTTTCCATTGTTTATTTACATGGCCTATCCTTGCAGACGGTTGTCCATTTATGAGCCTGTGGGCTTCTCCTTGCATTAAAATATGAAGTGATGGGAGGTTTAACAACACCTCCAGGGCCGCAGTTGGCGTTGCGCTCATGGCTCCAGTACAGTAAAGAGTTTAACAAATTTATTTAATATGTCTTCATAAAAAAATGAACCGACTTGTATTTTTTTCTAAGAAAAAAGAATGGTTGAATAATTAGATGTTAATTAATATTTAAATTATGCCGAGCTTGTTCCAATTTCATTTCTATTAGTTCTCGCTGTGTTTCAGAGTTATACGATAACTTTTTTTGATTAATTAATATTTATGAAAGGTATTGGTTGAGATAAAAAAGTCAGTGTCACGAGCGGGATTCGAACCAACGACCTTGGGCTAAATACGCCACTACTCTACCACTTGAGCTATCGTGACCTCGATCCACTCGGACACTAACATCTCATCTCAACCCCACCTTTTGAATTTTCCCTCCTTTTTGCCATTTTTCAAATGTCGTGTAATCGGATTGGATTCTCGACGACAAATGAAATGGCCGCGGAGAGCTTTAGAGAAGTATGAAAAATGGCAAAAAGGAGGGAAAATGCAAAAAGTGGGGTTGAGATGAGAAGTTAGTGTCCGAGTGGATCGAGGTCACGATAGATCAAGTGGTAGAGCAGCGGAGTATCTAGCCGAAGATCGTGGGTTCGAATCCCGCTCGTGCCATTGACTTTTTTATCTCAACTAGAAAACCTTAATTAATTGTAATATAGTCATTAATGTACATTTATTGAAATGTATTTCATGTTAGGCGTCGCATTTGTATCTCAGGTATATTCATACAGATGGTATACAATACAGATTACCTCAAAAATAGAAGTCTGGTCACATTCACTTACCCAGGATTCTCAAGATTCCTCGGGGCAGGTCGAACCCACTCCATTCTCGCAAATAACTTACTTTACTCTCCAGACTTCACACATTCTTCCCAGAGAACTTCATATTGCTCGGAGGTGGTCAAACCCACTCCATTCTTATAACCACTTAACCCTCCAGACGACGCACATTCCCTTCATAGTACTCGAATTTCCGCGGGGCGGGTTCGAACCCACTCTATTCTCGCTAATAACTTACTTTACTCTCCTGACTTCACACACTCATCCCAGAGCACTCGATATTTCTCCGGGCGAGTTTATGCAACCCCTTCCTTTCACGCGAATAAATAACATCCATTCTAATAAATCAAACGTAAACACAACAAACTCCCCCCAGAGACCTCGATATTCTTCGGGTGGGGTTAGCGACCTAAACACCAACATATTGACTGTAGTCTATAATAAAACAATCTGAAATAAAAACGAGATGAATTGTCTATTCTTTTTCTTATTGATTCTTCATGAATATGCATGGAATTTATGCGTTGGGCGATCCACATTCAACAGAATTGTGTCGTGGATCATATCTAGAAGAATTTTTGAACCAAAGGTCATTTATTATTTAACCGACGAAAGAAAATAAATCTCTACAATTGGTAATCTGGAAAAGTCGAGATTTTAATCTTCGTAACACGTGTTGGCTGAAATGATTTGTCAAATATAAAATTTTAATCTAATTTTTAGTACAATAATATTTTTGTTTTAATGTTGTATTTGCTTAAATGATTAAGTTGAATGTTTTTGTTGGAATAATATTATTAACACAAAATATGGTAATTTTGTATATCTACGGTTTAATTTTATTAGATTCCTTACAGCTTGTAGCAATAATTCTCACTTTTTGTTAAATAAAATATAAAGAATTACATAAGTAATTTCCGTTTTCAAGATGTTTTTAAAGTAAAATGGTTATTTACTTTACAACGCTCACGGTCGACGGTTGGAACGTTATTTTAAAAATGTTCACCGTTTTTTCCATATCAGTCGGGATATAGATAAGGGAAACCGGCCGGCTGTCAACAATATGTAAAATTCAGACAAAACTCACCATTACGTTGTACTCTCTCCATATTTCCCCCCTGACGGCCAGCGACTGTTTGACAAAAACGAGTTGGGCCCCACCTCAGCGATATCCCCCTCTTAGCTTTCCTTTAAGAATAATCTAATTGCGTATTATTTAATCTGTCTAATAGTATAAAAATGGGAAAGGCGTTTTGTTCTCTCCATTTTGAAATTAGAAATTTAGCAAAAGTTGTACCACAGCTCTAACTGGTTTTCCCGTTTGAGGACAGCAGAATATTCAAATTTAGCGAGTCGGATGCCTTTCTTTGCTATTTTTTTATCAGACATTTCCACCTTTCACTATCGTCATTTCGTATTTGTCCAAGCAACAGGTTCATCATGGCACAGACATCAACAAGAAATCCCAAAGAAGTATCGATATTTCGAACACATCCTTGTCAAATTTAAATGCTTTTTGCTTATTAGATGATTACTACTTAGTAATATTGGCTTTTGAGATTATTTCATTTCTTCAACAATTGTTTCGCCTTCGATGCAGCATCCATGTGTGCAGGGGCACGAACGTCTTTTTTTTCAAAAAGGCGAGATGTCACCACTCACTAATGGGGCAAGCCACAAGCACTAGGTACAAGCAGAAAGGGTATTCAACAGCACTCATCGCACTCTCAACTGCCAATGTGGCTCGAGCTCAACAGTCGAAACCCCAATCAACAGCTCCTCTCGACAAGGGCACTTATCAGACCCACTAAACTTCTTTGAACAGATTCGTCGACGAAATGTCACTACTCAAGCAAGGCAAGCCACTAGCACTAGCTACAAGAAGCAAGAATATTTTCAAAAGCACTTATGGCACTCTCAACTGCCGATATGGCTAAACCACAACTGTCGAAACCCCAATCAACAGACTGTCCTACCCACTAAAAAGCCCGATCACTAAAGCACACTTTCCGTCAACTAAAGGAGCGTCCTTCATCTACTAATTCATTTTTATGCATGATTTCTCATCTTCCGTGCAGCAGCCAATGAGCTTTCAGCACCCTGTGTGCAGACGCATGACCTTTCTTTTTTGAGCAGACTTGTCGACGAGATGTCACTACTCACTAATGAGGCAAGCCACAAGCTCTAGCTACAAACAACAAGAATATTGTCAACAGCACTTATGGCACTCAGCTGTGTGGGGTCTTTCGCTCGTTATAACAGCCGGCACAGCCACTACGGTCAACGGACTCCAATCAATAGCTTTTTCCAATCACACAAAAATCTCGTGCAGTACAGCAACTTTTCCGTCAACTAAAGGATCGTCCTGCATCTACTATTTCATTTCGCTGCATGATCTCTCATCTTCCGTGGAGCAACTGTGTGCAGAGGCATGACCTTTCTTCTTTGAGCAGACTTGTCGACGGGATGTCACAACTCACTAATGAGGCAAGCCACAAGCACTAGCTACAAACAACAAGAATATTGTCAACAGCACTTATGGCACTCAGCTGTGTGGGGTCTTTCGCTCGTTATAACAGCCGGCACAGCCACTACGGTCAACGGACTCCAATCAATAGCGCAACTGTGTGCAGAGGCATGACCTTTCTTCTTTGAGCAGACTTGTCGACGGGATGTCACAACTCACTAATGAGGCAAGCCACAAGCAGAAAGAGCATGTTCAACAACACTCATCCCCCTCTCAACTGCCGATGTGGCTCAAGCACAACAGTCGAAACCCCAATCAACAGCTCCTCTCGACACGGGCACTGCTCTGATAGCTGCTTGGCTATGTCTTTCGTTTGTTTTATGCTCCCTGTACATATTGAATTTCCAAAACAGTCTTATCCATACGCTGCATGGTGCACCGTCTAGCATGTATATTAATGTATGAATTAGTAAACAGTCATTAGATGTAAGAACTATGCGTCTGTAATCTTGCCCTTCCTGGAACTCATGAATGCAGAAAATAGGTTTAAGTTATATATAAGTTAAGTTATGATCTTTACAAAACAACCGATATGCAGTAAGGCTGCTAAAGGTAGCGGTTTGTCAATGTGTATCAACTAATTTTATCCTGCAGAGACATATGACCTGGAATGTCTCTACAGCATTCAGTTCCGATCAATTTGGCCTGTCTATTCTCGCTGGTTTCGGCCTGTTAGACGTTTTTCGGCTTTTCACCATTCAGTCCTCTCCGTGCTTATAACCTTGACATCCACTGAAACCAGCAAAAAGGCTGGGGCTGTTAGACCTTCACAGTGAGGATAGTTAGATCAAAACGATAGAAACCGACCAGCAGGTTGTTTCTGCAAACTCCATGAGGAAATTTCCCAATATTTTGAGACACTAAGCCCTCCTTTAAGTTCATCCTGCAACCAGGGTTTTTATAATTTTTTCTCAATTATATATTATGATATATNTATATATATATACAATAAAATATTATGATTTTCATTAATTTGTCATGTGTCTATAGCATAAGCTTTGTAAACACTATGTAAATATTGTAAATTTGGATTATATTAAAGTCTTTGGGTTACTTTAAAGTTTTATCCGTTAGTATTTTTGAAATAAAACAGCTGTTGAAGTGTTTTTCAAATTTGTTCCCAGCACGGCTCATTTTCTCAAATGATACCCGAACCGCACCAGCTGCTGATAGTCCCATGTCATCGGGTGGAAGAGGCCAATTAACAAAGACGACAAATTCAACCCTCAAGAGTTGATTAAGAGTTGATTGTGTGACAAGCAAAACATTGACACATGTTTAAAAATTCGGGGTACACATGTTGCAAGATTTTCGCAGGCGAGGGCAGACTGAAGATTTGCCGGGTGTGCTGTCGCCGATGACAGGATGTTAAAAGCTGCCAGATGGGCCAGCTTTTCCACAAAGACTCCCGCGTGTCGCAACACGACAAAGTCATTCTGGTGAGTTGCCATTTTAATTATTAAATTTAAATCTGATGAAATCAAACACATCAGCTGTACGATTGATCATTACAACACAATAAAAAAATATCTGAAGACAAAAGAAACAGAAACAAATACTTAAAATAAGAGCTGTAAGAGTGAACATCACTAGCAAGCATTTAAGGTTTTAATGTCCAGAAAATTAAGCTTGAAAAACGGCATTTTCAGGATCAATCATGGTTTTAACAGCTATATTTAATTGTTTAAGAAATACTTATTTGTATTAGCTGGTAAATATAATTTAGTGAATGTGTTCAGGTGGATATGATGATCATTAAAATTTTTTTTAGAAAGTTAAAACACTCCGCGACACAGTCAAAATATACCAGGTCAAAGTTGAGCAGTCGCTGTCTTTTGAACAAGAACTCGCCGTCCGACTTCTCCAGGCCGGGAAAAGAGAGTAATATTTTTTGTTTTAAGTATTAGAAGGCATTTAGGTAAAATGTGTAGTATAGAGGAACTATTTGGTTGATGGTAGAAGCTTATGCTTTTTTTGATGTTTTTGATTTGTTGTGCATTCAATGTTTTCTCTTATATATATATTATTTTGAAGGAAGGCGAAATGCATTCTACGGAAGAGAATGGGCCTCCAGGACCACCTGAGGGTGACGGACGTCCACCTGGAAAACCTGGAACGTATGATACACCATCTCGAATCGTCAACTGTGATCCAGAAGGTATTCGGATCGTACCTTTTCATAATTCTTGAATATTAACATTTGCGATATAAATCCAGGTCCTGGAAGGTCTGCGCGTAGGGAACAAAGCGCTGAAAAGGGCCAATGAAATTCTAAACATCAAAAACGTTGAAACGCTTTTGGAAGAGACGGCCGTCGGGATTCAGAAGCAGGCTGTGAGTGAAGTCTGTTCTTTCTTTAAATTTGATATTTAATTTGAATAATTTAATCCAGGAGATCAATGAAGTTATACGAGGCCTGACGAGCGAAGCGACGGAGGAGATAATCGAGGAAGAACTGAACGCACTCATGAGGACGAGCCTTTCGAACCTAGACGTTCTTAACGTTCCCGAAGACGTCCGTACTGAGAAGAACCGACAGCCAGGTAAAAAAAAAACCAACATTGTTTGCCATGACATATTTAAACCGTTGATTTTCAGTTCGCACTCCAGTGAACCAACAAGTGGATCTCATGAAGCCCAGCACTAGTTCCTCGACGAAAGAAAAAGAAAAGAAATCAAGGAAGAAGAAGGAAAAAGAGCACTCTGTAGGAGTAAGGCAGCGGCCGATGAACAGGCCCGTTGGGGTACAATACACTCCCACATATAAATTTCCATCCAATAATCAAAAATGTTTTTCCCTTTCAGATTGTCATCAGGGATGATTAGAGAGATTGGTCCTGTTGATCTTACTTCCGTTTTTTGGCTTATTTTGCTCATTAATGAAATTCCTATCTTATTCAAAGTTCTCTCCGAATTTGTAAAATATATATGCCTGAAAAGTAGTTTTTGTCTTTCTTCCATTTGTGAGATTCTTTATTAATTTAATAATTTATATGATAGACCTAAATTTTATACTACAAATAAAAACTTCCAGTGATGATGTATAAAATCTATTTTTACAATGAAGTACTGTAGTATTAATAGTTTGGCCATCCTGGTCTGAAAGTCCTCGCTGGGGTTGCCAATAATGACCACAGAACAAGAAAATATAAAGTTGCTTACACCCAAAGATATAAGACAAGAAATTGAAAACTTACTGGCTTAAAAGGCTCCAGGACTTTAGAATATTTAAAAACATCGCCCATAAAAGTGTTAGCTGAACTAACCTAAGAAACTAACCTATTTAAGGCAGCAATCAGACTACTCCAGTGCTGGTAATAAAAAAAAAATCAACGGTTTAAACATCTCATGGCAAACAAGAAAATCCCCAGCCTCTGCCTCTAATTCTGGCTTTTATTAATATAAATAGATCACCTATAAAAGCTATAATTTTAAAATTTGAGGTTATGTGTATTTTTAATGGTGCGTTGTACTGAAGAATTCAAAAGTCGGGACAGCAACTAGGCCCTAATGATAAACCTTTCATTATTTTCTTTTGACAGAGAGCATATTTTTATGCCAATTCTATCAGAAACATAGCTTTTTCCTAAATTAAGATATTGGAAACTTAAATAATAAATAATGGTATAATATTGCTGGCCATACCGCATCAAAAGCCCTTTGTACATCGAACGATGTAAGTAGGGCTTCTTGCTTTTGAAAGGTGCATTACGTACGAACAATTTCATCGCCATCAAAGCTTTGTCGGTGCTTTTTTGTGGTACAACACGATATTGATCATGGCTGATAAGGTCTTTATTATAGGTAGCAGGTTGATTTTTTAAATCAATAATTTTTTTAATATTATTTTCCCTCCAACTGGGAGAAAACTTTTCGGTCTCAACTTTCATTGTACTAAAGATTTCTTTAACTTTCCAAACTGGTCAGTTTGTGTGTGTGTGTGTGTGTGTGTGTGAGAGAGAGAGATGAGAGAGAGAGAGAGAGAGAGAGAGAGAGAGAGAGAGAGAGAGAGAGAGAGAGGGAGAGAGAGAGAGAGAGAGAGAGAGAGAGAGAGAGAGAGAGAGAGAGAGAAAGAGTGAGAGAGAAAGAGAGAGTGAAGGTAAGAAAATTAAAATAAGTAAAAAAAATGGAAAGTACGAGAAAGAATGGATGAAAGGAAAAAATGTTGGGTGACAGTCTGAAGAGAAAAGAGACATAGTAACACAGCTAAATAAAGAAGGCAACACAAATATCTGAAGACAGAGAGGGTGTGTGAGAGAGAGAGAGAAAGAGCTAGTGAAGGGAAAAAAAATTAAAATCCGGAAAAGATATTTTGGAAAGTACGAGAAAGAAAGGATGAAAGGAAGAAAAAATGTTGGGAGACAGTCTGAAGAGAAAAGAGACATAGTAACACAGCTAAAGAAAGAAGGCAACACAAATATCTGAAGACAGAGAGGGTGTGTGAGAGAGAGAAAAAGCGAGTGAAGGGAAGAAAATTAAAATCCGGAAAAAATATTTTGGAAAGTACGAGAAAGAAAGGATGAAAGGAAGAAAAAATGTTGGGAGACAGTCTGAAGAGAAAAGAGACATAGTAACACAGGAAAAGAAAAAAAGGAAACACACACACACACACTCATATATATATGTTTCCTTTTTTCTTTTCCTGTATATTATATATAAATAATATATATAATACAGATAGATTGAGATCTACAGACAGATTGATAGATAGGATAGAAAGNGAGAAAGAGAGAGAGAGAGAAAGAGAGAGAGAGAGAGAGAGAGAGAGAGAGAGAAAGAGGGAATATCTCTATTAGAGAAATTAAATCAATTTTAAGTAAAGGAAAAACTAGACCTTATGAAATAAAAATAAATATTAGGAGAAAAAATAAAAAGAAGAGACCAGATTAAAAACTTGGATTAAGTAATTATTTATGATCTGTAACAACTAGTTGTACATACAATGTTCATTATAATTCTGATAATAATCATTGGGTAAAATATACACGCCATTTTTACAATCAAATGTAAAATATTTAATCATTTGACATTTTATAATCATATTGTACAAAAATACACTAATTTTATGTGGGCTTTTAGTTTACAATACTTAAGTTAGATTATGTTTAGCTTCATTAATCCATATTTACTATAATTGTTGTTTTATTGTTTATGAACATGTATTTTTTCAGCTGTTGTCTTTTCAAAATGGCAGATTTGCCCTTCATGCCGACGCTGCGTTTATTGCCGCCTCTGTCCAACAGATAGTGCCAAGGTGCGTCTTTCCAAGTTGAAATTTTCATATATTTTTAATTATACTTTCTTTTATTAATTTGTAAAATATTTAACTGACAGTACATTTGGTTGTCGAAAATTGGCAAAAAAAGATCCTTTGCGATTTTCCGACTTTCTTTTCCGAAAAGTTCTTTCCGACTTGATGCTGGGTGTTGATCTGCGAGTCGGTGAACTCATGCTGAACAGGCATTGGATCTTTAATTGGGTCCGTCTTCACTCGCAGTTATTCCCTGAAGATAATAATTAAGAATAGCTCAACAAACCCGCGAATGAAGACTGACCCAATTAATTACCAAAGTTGGTTCTTTCAGACTTGGTTCATTGTCCAGAATGACAGTTCTTTGCCCAGAAGTCTGCTAGACGTAATTCAATTAAATAATTTTTCGATTATTAAGCATATTTGAACATGAATTTATCAGTGATAATTAGGATCTAGGAATTTATCAGACTGAGAGACTAACAAGCTTTAGTCTGTAGGACTGGTATCTTTTTGTTCTTTACTAATTTTGCATATAATAACTAAACTGTTTATTATTTTTTATTAGGTACTGTAGATCCATCGGGTCAGATAAAATCTTGGTCTTGGGGAATTTTGGTCAGGGTGAAAGGCTTCGGGCCTCGGACGGCGACCGCGAACTCGCCCTCGGACCCGGGGGTGAAGTTGGCCGTCACGATGACATAAGCCCCTGGCAGGAGGCTGTATTCGTGCTTGAGTTGTCTCCAGTTGACGAAAGCCCCCGTGTCACCTTCAGGCTCGACGACGAGGAAGAATTCCGCACCGAGACGTTCGCCGGGCCAGCTTTCCTTCTGAAAATTAATGATCGAAAGAAAGAATTAAAGGCAATTTTGAACGGACACACACACACACACACACACACACACACATCCCACAGATATTTCTTTCTCTATCTTTTTCTCTTTCTCGCACATTCGCTCTCTCTGTACTAATAGTTTGTTTGTCAGACGCGATTCGGCATTTTGCTGTCTTCACTGGTTGTTAGGGTTATAAGCAGGGAGAGGACTGCAGTTTATGACAATGAATGAACACGTCTAACCAATCTAGCGAGGATGGGCAGACCAAGACGATCGGTAAGGATCAAAACATAGGTTTATCACTCCGCAGACGACATGGATAAAGCTCACAATTAAAACATTTTTATTAATTTTATTCCTGTCTTTTTCGTACATTCCCACCTCCATTTCTTACATTTACAACATATCTTTCTTTGCTAACATTTTTTTCTTTTACCCACAATCTTCTTTTATTTTATTTACCGCTTTCTTTTTTTATTTTCTAGTCCTTTACCCTTTATTTCTCACACTGATATCGTTCGATGCGTAATATTTTTTCTACCTCTCTCACTCCTCCCTCTTTCCTTCTCTTCTATTTTAATCTATATTTTCTTTTCTATTTCATACTTTAATCCCACCTTTTCTTCTTTCATCCTACCTCTATCTTATTGTTTTTTTCTCTATCGCTCAATATTTGTCTTGGGTGTATACTCCATATTTAGTTAATCCATATTTGCTTAGTGGTCATAATTGACCATATTAATTATTCCAATTAAATATTCTTCGTTTTTGGTTGAGTTGAAAAATTAGTGTCACCAGCGGGATTCGAACTCAAGATCTTATTTATGTTTAATTATCTTTCTCATATCCTAACCCCAACTTTTATTCTTTCAATCTGTCTCTACCTTAATGTCTTTATTTCTGTCTTATTTTTTCCTTTCTCCCACTCTCTCTAGCTCCTAATATTTCAATGTCTTTCATGCTATAATATTTTAACTGGTCACTTTCTATCTATCTGTCTACCCGTCTGTCTGTCTGTCTGTCTCTCTCTCTCCCCCTTTTTCGCTCAAAATTTATTGTTATTGACTTATGGTCGTAACTTCATGTTTTATTCTCTTTTTTATAATCTAACCCCAACTTTTCTTCTTTCATCCAATCTCTATCTTATTTTTCTTTATTTCTTGTTTTTTCTCTCTCTCACCCTCTAATTCTCCCTCGCTCAATATTTTCTTGCTTGAATACTGTAGATTTTATTCTCTTTCTCTTTTTCTAACCCAAACTTTTATTCTTTCTCTCCGTCTATATGTCTTGTTTTTTCTTTCTGTCACTCTCTCTGGCTCCTAATATTTCAATGTCTTTCATGGTATAATATTTTAACTGGACTCCTTCTCTCTGTCTGTCTATCTGTCCCCCCTCTCACTCTCTTTATCGCTCAAAATGTATTGTTATTGACTTATGCGCTTAACTTTATGTTCTATTTTCTTTCTCATATTCTAATACCAACTTTTCTTCTTTTATCCTATCCCTATGTTATTATTTTTATTTCTGACTTATTTTTTTCTCTCTCTCTCCCACTAATACTCTCTATTTCAAGCTCAATATTTTCTTGCTTATATACTCTATATATTATTCTTTTTCTTATATTCTAACCTCAACTTTTCTTTTCTCAATTTGTCTTTATCTTATTGCCTTTATTTCTGTCTTGTTTTTTCCTTTCTTCTACTCTCTCTAGCTCCTAATATTTCAATGTTTTTCATGCTATATTGTTTTAACTGGTCTTTTTTTCTCTATCTGTCTGTCCGTTTGTCACTCTCTCTCTCTCTCACTCTTTCTATTTCTCCCTCTCTCCCAATATCAACATTTTTTATTTTTTATCATTTTTATTATCAACTTTTTTGTTCTCACCCAATACCTTTCTTTATTATTTTTTCTTCTACATTTTTTTCTTGTCAGTATTTATTTTCTCTCTAATATTCTTTTATCTCTCTCTCTCTATCACCTAGCTTACAATTTATTTATACCCTTTCTCCTATACTTCTTTGTCTTCATTCTTTCTAAGCCTCTTTTTCTATTTCTCTCTTATCTTTAATCTTTCCCTTAACATTTTTCTATTTTTCCTCTTTCACATTCTTTCCAAAATTCTCCATCAAAACATATATTTTACATATCTGTAAAAGGTTTTGAAATGTTAAAAATATGCAGCGTGGTATAAAATTCTAACCCCGCGATCCTAAAATCGCTAGAGAAGCAAATTTAAATGGTTTGTTAGTTTTTATTTGTATTTATAACCGTAATTAGCTCAATATTCGAAGGAAGACGAATCGGGGTGAAAATAACGCAGAACAATCTCTCTTTCCATTTAAGCCCGAAGAGGAGGAAAATCCATTTCAAACGAGCAATAAAACGGCTATGCGGCTCTTCCACCTTCTCGGTCAGATCCATTAAAAATCCAGAATTAACAGTAACACCTTGGAAAGACTAAATACGATTGAAATTACCCCGGCGTGCGCCCGTTTATTGTTTTACGTCAATCATAACATTACAACGGTAAATTTAAAAGTTCTATCCCCGAAAGGTAAAGAAGAAGATGCTAAAATGTATCTATAAAAAAAATCCAACAACGGTAAATCTAACCGTACAATTGACCTAGAATGAACCCGACTGACCTTGACCCAAACGAATAGATATAAAGAAACACCAGAGTATAGAAAAACAACGAGGGAAGATAGTGGATAATCACTTGGTCAAAGGTTAAATTAAGTTTTAGTTTAAATTCTTGGGTGTGTCACGCCCTCATAGTCTTAATGGAAATTGGATTTTAACTTATAATTTTATGTGTGGTGATTAGTGACCGTTAATCGATAATTATTCAGAAATCGTGAGATGCGGTCCGGTGTGATGTAGGTTTCAGAAAAACATTTTCTTTATCGTGCCAACGTTTCGATCTTTATAGAGATCATCTTCAGGGTTCAAAGTGCCGTGCCCACTGGTGTGAGTTGGGCACTCTCAACACGACACGCAAGAATTGCACAATTACACAGAAGACAAACACTTTGAGCCCTGAAGATGATCTCAATAAAGATCGAAACGTTGGCACGATAAAGAAAATGTTTTTCTGAAACCTATATCCCACCAGACCGCATCTCATGATTTCTGAATACTTATAATTTTACCTGAAGTATAAGCAGTAAATGTCTGATTAATTGAATTAATTAAAGTTTTTAGTTGAGATAAAAAAGTCAGTGTTAAGAACGGGATTCGAACCCACGATCTTCGGCTAGATACGGTGCTACTCTACCATTTGAGCTATCATGACTTCGATCCACTCGGACACTAACTTCCCATCTCAACTCCTCCTTTTGAATTTTCCCTCCTTTTTGCCATTTTTCAAACATCATGTAATCTATTTGATTCTCGGCGACAAATGAAATGGCCACGAGAGCTTTAGTGAAGATATACTTCACTGTAACTTATTAAATCCACTAGTTTTCGTGGTCCGCTCGACCAATTAATATCTTTCAATTAATTAAGGTTTTTAGTTGAGATAAAACAATGGCAAAAAGGAGGGAAAATTCAAAAGGTGGGGTTCAGATGGGAAGTTAGTGTCCGAGTGGATCGAAGTCACGATAGCTCAAGTGGTAGAGCAGCGGCGTATCTAGCCGAAGGTCGTGGGTTCGAATCCCGCTCGTGACACTGACTTTTTTATCTCAACTAAAAACCTTAATTAATTGGTCAAGCGGACCACGAAAAGTAGTGAATTTAATGTCTGATTAATCATCAACCAAGTATCAAAACGTCCAACAAACCCAATTTTCAACAAAAGTAAATCAACACGAACCTCATTATTATTCTACCATTTTAAAATGAAAATCGTTCCATCTATCGTAGTTCATGTCCGGGAAAATTTCAATTATAAGTTTGACCGAAAATTTTTCTACGAAAATGGTTATTTCGCTACTTTAAACAATATGCGTTGTATCTCAGGGTCATTGCTATTGACTTATTGTCCCGAGTTTAATAAATTGCAGCGTGAGATATCAATGAATAATAGCTCTTAATTTACGGGGGGGCAAACACCTCGACGTTATCCCTCAATCAATGAACAACCAACAATTAATTGAGGATTTTAAATTAAGGTTAAACTGTTGGTTAAATATGTCACACATTTATTTTGTAGAGTTTTCGATATCGGTTTGGATTATTTGAAGTCATAAGTTGAAAATCTTAAAGCGGATTTAAATAAGAAGATATCTGGATTAAGTCAAACCATTGTACTTAGATCGAGGCAAATATGTCACAACTTAGTAGTGAAAAAAGTCGGGTTGTGGTCAAGGAGCTACTGGCATGGCACACTTGCTTAATCTTGTGCAAGGAGCTGTTGGCCCATGTGATGTCACGTTGGACAGAGTGCAGGGAGGTACTAGCCCATGTGAAGGTGCTACTGGCCCCTTCGGACAGGGTGGGGAGGAGTTATTAACCCCTCTGAAAGTGCTACCTATGTGACGTCTTGAAGGAGTGCACGGAAAATGATGGTTTATTACAACTGCAGCCCAGTTTAAATTGTATAAATAAAAGTTGTGGCATCGGCAATATGTCAGATCTAAGGAATTGTTTACTAAGCGATGAAGTTCAGTGAGGGTAATAGAAAATTCGGAAAAGCTGTTGTAACGTATTTGAAACAAAATGACCTACACCGTTTAAAGATGAAGTGGACAGAGTATTCCATCCAAATAGATTTGAAGCTGAAATTACAATTGAAATGATGATAGAACATTGAATTGGTATGATTTAACATGTGTTATGCTGTTTACAATAACATTACGATAAAATCTATATTTTATACTTTTGTTACACAATATCCTACAAATAATACAAAAATAACAATTATCAAAAAATTGAAATTCAGTTACAGAGTGTTAAAAAAATAAGTTATGATCATAATTTAAATAAAGTCACGAGGACTAGTAGCACCACCTAATGGGCAAAGTACATCCCTGCTCTCTGTAGAAGCTCCTCCCCCTCTGCCCGACGTGACGACACTTGGGTCAGTGGCACCATCAACTGGGCTAGTACCCCCTGCGTTCTGTAGAAGCTCCTCCCCCTCTGCCCGACGTGACGACACTTGGGTCAGTGGCACCATCAACTGGGCTAGTACCTCCCTGCACTCTGTAGAAGCTCCTCCCCCTCTGCCCGACGTGACGACACTTGGGTCAGTAACACTATCAACTGGGCTAGTACCTCCCTGCACTCTGTAGAAGCTCCTCCCCCTCTGCCCGACGTGACGACACTTGGGTCAGTAACACTATCAACTGGGCTAGTACCTCCCTGCACTCTGTAGAAGCTCCTCCCCCTCTTCCCGTCGTGACGACACTCGGGTCAGTAACACTATCAACTGGGCTAGGACCTCCCTGCACTCTGTAGAAGCTCCTCCCCCTCTGCCCGACGTGACGATACTTGGGTCAGTAGCACTATCTACTGGGCTAGTACCTCCATGCACTCTGTCCGATGTGACGTCACATTGGCCAGTAGTTTCCTCAGATCGGCTTGTAGCTCCTCCCACTCTGCCCGACGTGATGACACTTGGGTCAGAAGCACCATCAACTGGGCTAGTACCTCCCTCCACTCTGTCCGATGAGACGTCACATGGGTCAGTAGTACCTTCAGATTGGGTAGTAGGTCCTCCTACTCTGCCCGACGTGACGATACTTGGGTCAGTAGCACCCAAGGTACTGGGCTAGTACCTCCCTGCACTCTGTCAGATGTGACGTCACGAGCGAGTAGTGCATTCAGATGGGCTAGTACGTCCGAGAAGGCAGTAGCACCTTGCACAAGCGTACCCAAGTGGTCAGATGTGTCAGTGGCTCCTCGTGCTAATAACACTTGTGTCAGATTCGACCTTTCCGCACTACTCACCTTGTAGATGAAAAACGCCACGTGAAGAAGTTTGGGCCCATGTTGGGTCAGAGAGACGCACAGCTTGATTTTCTTCTCTTCGGTCGCGTCCTTGAAATAACTTGTATAAGGGTCGAAGTTCATGCTCTCGGCTACAAGTTCAGGAGGGCCGACGTTCAATGAGAACTGGGGATTCGTAGAAAATTGTTCAAGATCGTTGCGCGAACCTCCGCTAGATACGCCCTTCACCCAGGCGCCCTTTTCCTCCAGCATCTGCAACAAAGGTCACAAACATGCAGAACTTGATGAGAAATGTGTTTTTAAATATCATATTTCGTTGTTTTTATTACAACTTTGATGTCAGGCTATAAAAGAAACCATGATATCTAATAGAGAAATTTAAACTCCCCTTAAATTATAAGCATAATTTATTTTATTACTACCGTAAGAATAGAGAGAGTTAAAAATCAGCACAATAAATTAATATATGTAAGATGTAAACGTTTAAGAAACCAGTGAGTGATAAAGTTACCCAAAATATGTGACTGCAATTAGTTCTTTTTAAAGAATGCCACAAAGAATTAAAACTAGAAGTTAAAAATGAAGGACAAAGAATGCTGAACGTACACTTTCTTAAAGTCATTTAGTATGTGTTTAAAATATTTCCACGATCAATCAAGGAATTGGCTATTATTTAAAGACTCGGACTTTTTTAAATTATTGATGATTCAGCATATGTCGAGAATCTTTGTATTGCAAAAGGTCAAGATAGTCTATTGCATAAAAGCTTTTAGTTTTTACGATGATGCTGTAAATCCTATCTGTTTAAACAGTTTGATTGACTCTAATTGTTTAGCAAGTTTAAGCACAAGTTTATAACCGATAGAGAAAATTCTATATTTTTACCCAAAAAATATTGCGGTTTTGAGGAGCCCAAAGACTGACGTTGTGGAGACGGAAAACTCTTCTTAGAAGCGAAAAAGCTTCAGAAGAGTTTTGGAAAAATAAATTGAGAAATTTTTTCTTATGAAAGTTAATTAGCCAAAATTTTCATTGTCTCATTGGCACAAGTGTAACTTTTTAAAATATATTTTTTGTATCGTTATTTTGTAGCAGGACAAAGTTACCGGAAAAAAAGGTTTTTATTTTTTAAACAATTTCTAACCACTAAAGTAGATTTTCTCTTGTTATGAGTTCTTAAACTATAATATCATTGTTTTTATTTTTTGATATATACCTAAAGTGCTGGACCAGTTTTTATTGATGTTATTCTATATATTATTCTGTTGTTATTCTACATTGCTGAGTCCAGGATTGTTTTTGTAACGTGTATGTTATTTCTTTAATGCAGGGTGAAAAAATATAAGAGTCGGGCAGAGAAAATTTTCTCTTTTTATCAAAAAATATTGGGATTTTGAGGAGTCTGACGTTGAAGAGCTGGAGATGGAAAACTCGTCTCAGAAGAGAAAAAGCTTCGGAACTGTTTTAGAAAAATAAATTGAGAATTTTTTCCTATGAAAGTTAATTAGCCAAAATGTTCGTTTCCTCATTAGCTCGTGTTACTTTTTAAAATAATTATTTTGTATCGTCGTTTTGTAGCAAGACAAAGTTACAAGAATACAAGTTTTCATATCAAAAAAAAAATTTATATAATTTTTAAAGACTGAAATGTTAAAGTTGATGTTTACGTAATACGCTGAACCATTTTTTATTGATGTATTCATATATCGTCACGTCCAGAATTTTTTTTTGTATGCAAGGCGAAAAGTACAGGAGCCCGGTAGAGAAAATTTTCTCTTTTTACCTAATAAATATTGCGAGTTTGAGGAGCCCAAAGACTGAACAGGTGTATACAGAAAATTTGTCTCCGAAGGGAAAAGTTTTGGAAAAAGAAATTGGAAATATTTTCTTATGAAAGTTAATTAATCAAAATCTTCATTGAATTTTACCTCCTTTTTGCCATTTTTCAAAAGGTGCGGTTGAGAAGGGAAGTTAGTGTCCGAGCGGATCGAGGTCACGATAGCTCAAGTGGTAGAGCAGCGGCGTATCTAGCCGAAGATCGTTGGTTCGAATCCCGCTCGTGCCATTGACTTTTTTATCTCAACTAAAAACCTTAATTAAATGTAATATATTAATTGGTCAAGCGAATCACGAAATTAGTGAATTTAATGAAGTAGGGAAAATATTTTCTCGTTTTATCTAAAAACATTTTCTAATTTGAGGAGTTCAAAATCATCCAAGTCCCCAATTGACTTAATTTTTAAATTGTCACACATAATGATCATTTCTATATTTTCTTATGCTTTTACTTTGTAATATTCTGAATGTCCCATGTTACTTGCGTTCTTTTAGAAATAATAATTTTCAACTCATTTTATTGTTAACATTAGCCGAAACATTAGCATTAGGTAAAAGATTGTAAACATGATTTTTTCACTTCGGATAATTTGCATCGCTGGACTTGGCATCAGTGATACAAATTTAAAATACAATCTCTAGGAAAAAAGACCACTTCAGCGAGTTTTAAAATATTTTTCCGTTGTCATCAAGTTTTACAAAAAATTTTCTTTAAAAAAAACATATTTGGATTGAGAAGATCCAAATTATTTAGTGCACATAAAAAAAGCTTCCAGCTTCTATGATTAGTCAGATTGAACGCATTCTAGAATTTTTATGGGTTAGAAAGGCTTTATGGCAGCTATTGTAAGCTTTAGACTTTAGAAGGCGATGTACCTTTTAATAATATATACTAACAGGCTAAAATTCCACCCATATTTAATATTGATGATTTGTATATATTTTTATACATTAATCAAAGTTTCACGTTTTTTAACGTTTCATAATTGAGTCTTTGCCTAAAAAAGTTTAAAAAAATGTAAATTGCTAAAGAAAAAAAAAACCGACAGATAAAATTTGTTTTAATTTTGTTTTAGATTTTAAATTAACATTTCAATATTGTGTAGTTCCTCCTCTTGCCTCAATTACATCTCGAAGACACCTCGGCATACTTTCTACCAGTCTGGAAATGTCTCTTGGCTGGAGGTTAGCTCATTCTTCAAGAAGAGTCCTTTCAAGATCGTGGATTGTATCAGGAAGTGAGGGACGTGCAAGAAGATTCGTCTTTTGAGGTTATCCCATAAATGTTCGATTGGGTTCAAGTCTGGAGAACGGGCTGGCCAGGGTAAGACCCTGGAGTTATGCTGTTGAAGGTACGTTTGTACTTTGCGAGCGATACGTGGACGGGCATTATTGTGCATTGTCGTTGATTTCACCGAGGATAGGCAACGCATGATGTTCCAAATTTCATCCACATAGCGAGTGGACGTCAAAGACCTAGGAACAACAGCCAACTCTGTGCGACTCTCCATTGAAATTTCCGCCCACATCATCACTGAGCTACGTTAAAAAGGTTGGCTCTGGGAAAAATTACCATCTTCGTACCTTTCATTTCGCTTTCGCCTCACTCTTTCACATCCATCTAGAGATCGTAGAGCAAATCTGCATTCACCTGTAAAAAATACAGCAGGCCAATCGTTTAAAGACCAATGGCTGTGTTCTCGAGAAAATGCGAGCCGTTCAATTCTGTGATCTGGTCAATTCTGGTCCTCTTAAGGGGCGAAAAGCCATCAGTCCATGCTGATTTAATCTTCTTCAAGCAAGGCGTTCGGAAATTTGGACACCTCAAGCTTCCCAGAGTTGATGAATCGCTTGAAACAGTAAGGTGACGGTTTGGCAAAATTCTCAAAGTCAAAAAATGGTCATCCTCTGTTTCTGTTACCCTAGGGCGTCCAGAACTGGGCATTCTATGGTAGGATCCAGTTTCTCGAAAACGTCTAACCGCGTCTCGCAGTGTTTCGTAGAATACTACGATGGCAAAGGACCTGATGGAACGTCCGTCATCAATAAGTGCCACATCATCAGCACTAAGTGGCATTTTTAAGTTTAAAAATTGAACGATAAGCTGGATTATCGACCTGCTGGAAACATGAAGTTTTTTCGGAGGATCTACGGAAGAGGTCAACACAGAGAAAAACTTCCTTTGGGTTTTCGCCGAGTTTTCGACAGTTTTTATACTGTCATCTTCAGGGCCTGTTTTATTATCATATAAAAAAACAACAATTAAAAACATGAAAAACAAATTGCACAAAAATTGAAATATCTTACTTTAACCTTAATGGGGAAATAAAAAGACCTGGTGTTTTGGGCACAGAAGTACATTACGTTTTTTTTGGTGTTCAGCATCTAAACATTATTTAAATTGAATAAATTAATAGTTGTAATTTTTTAAATTATTAATTTATTCAATTTAAATAATGTTTAGATGCTGAGCAAAAAAACCTAACTTACTTCTGTGCACTTTTTACTTCCCCATTAAGGTTTTTCATGTTTTTAATTGTTGTTTTTTTATATGATAATAAAACAGGCCCTGAAGATGACAGTATAAAAACTGTCGAAAGCTCGGTGAAAACCGAAAGGAAGTTTTTCTCTGTGTTGACCTCTTCCGTAGATTTCCGAAAAAACTTCATTTAAAAATTGAAATTAAGAAAGCAAATATAAAACTAAACAGTTTATTGCTTCAGAATTCAAATGAGACTGAATGAACATTTCAAATTCTGTAAAAATTAAACATTGAAAAATCCATTCTTCTTGTTTTTGATTAAGGATTAAGGACTATCAATTTACCTCTAATTGATATTCCCAATTTAAAACATAGCATAAACTAATATTTATTGATAAAAACAATTAGACAGATTAAGGGTAGAATTTTCTTTTATCGAGAAAATGAAAAAAATCAATTGGGCGGAATTTATTGCCTGTCGGGGTATTTACAGAATATTCTTGTTTTAATGGTTTTTTTTAACTTAAGTGATGCAATTTTTCATTGGCAAGATTAGATTAATTTATCATGAGGGTGAACAACTTGATTTTAAGTGATAAATCAAGTAAAGACGTAGAAAAGTGTTATGACATTTGGCATGAATGTCGAAAAAATCGAAAGGCTCGATTTGTTTCAACAGTAATTCAAGACTAATGTGAATATTTTTGGTAAATATTTTTTGTTTGTTTGTTAGAAAAGTGTTATGACATTTGGCATGAATGTCGAAAAAATCGAAAGGCTCGATTTGTTTCAACAGTAATTCAAGACTAATGTGAATATTTTTGGTAAATATTTTTTGTTTGTTTGTAAAATCATTCAATGTTCTTTATTTCAGGAACTACTCAGGTACAGCCAAGGAGGTTACATAGCTTACATTTGTTCAGGTAGGAGTTTTGTCCGCTAACAAAAGCTTCTAGATTCTACGACGACACAACAAAAGGCATCTTTGTACAGTTGTCGTGTTGTGAAATTTACAAAAACCTTTAGTAGGTGTTCAATCCGTTTAAGGGATTGATCCTTGGTGCTCTGAATGAATTAAAATTTAAGCTAATCCGCCTCGTTCCCTCGGGAATAAATCAATCTTAGTCCCACCTGATAATCCTCGGGCCATTCGATCCAGTCGCTCTCGATGACGTCGTACTCGTCATTTAGGCATACGTCCACTTCCTCTTCCTGCAATCAGGGGATAATTACTAACCAGATTGATTTTGAATTACCGGTTTCCTCTATAAAAACATTAGACGGACATTGTTTGGACTGGCCAGGTTTAAATTCAACAAAGCATATATGGTCAAGAGCATAAACTGCCCAGGTTTATTTTTTAAAGAAATTTTGTTATAAGGTTAATTAAATGGAACCTGCAAAATTCTTGTCTCCCTCGAGTGATACGCAACAGGCTGGCCATTTTTTCTCTTCCAGTCTTTACTGACTCGTATGACATCTCTGTTCAGCGAACTAGCACATCCCATAAGTTTCACTTCCTCGCCAGGGCCCTCATCAGGTAAAATGGCTAACTCAGATCGGTTTGACTTTCACCGGCTGCATCTGGAAAGCAAAACAAGAAGCACGATTATAGAGAAACCGTAATAAACACCGTTCAGATGTTAATATTACGGTTACAAAAAAAATCTCGAGTCATAAACGTATTTTTTATTATTACACATATGCGATAAAAGAGAGAGTCGCTTTCAAAAGGGTTTCGAGTATTCTCACCAAAATGAACGCCTCGTTGAAAGCGAGCTTTGGATTCCGTCCAAACTTCAAGTCCAGAAGTTGAGACAGAAATTTCCAATAAATTCTGTTTTATCTCGGGCTGAAATCCCGGCGCCAAGATCGGCGAGGGGTTCCGAAAGTCGAGCCGACGGCGGTGAAAGTGGCAGTGAAAGCTCCATGCTCTTCAACCAGGGTTTGTTTTAAGGTCAGAACGTGAAATATAGCATCAGAGCACTGTTTAAATGTCGACTTAAATCTCCGGAATTGTGCAAAACCGACTCTTTTTTTCTTAGTCTTGCAAAAGAAAACATGCACTAACAACCAATTATAAATATGTTATATATTAAATCCCCTTATCAAATCCTACTCTTCACATTCCTCACTTTTCTCCAATGTTTTGAGTTGCACTTTATACATGTGTGCTTTATCAAAAAGTCACTTCTTTAGATACATCCTTAAGACCTACCCTGTTCCTTATGTACCAATTAATCTATTCCTAGCCTAGGATCCAAGATTCCCTCATTAGTTTACTTCAAATTTTTGATTAACTATTGTACGTTTCACCAAAGAAGCTTCGCAGAAAAATATCGAATTAGGAATACGTAATCTTACTCGGTCTCCTGGGTGCAACTATTAAAATTCTATCGTGTAACTTTTAGGGCTCTTCAAGGATTCGATTCTCAAAACTAGTCTGGAATTGCCCAGATGCCCTAAAAAACTGGGATCCATAAGTAGCCTAAAGCTACAGTTGCTATCACGACTGGAGGGAATAGCAGGTAACGATGCTGGAGACACCCAAGGTAAATAGCCTCGGAACAACACTTAGATCCAAAATCTCTTTTGCGAAATAAACCAGTACAACATTAATAAAGAGCTTCTTGGTTGCTAGGGAGCACAAACGTATACCAGGCACGAGGAAAGCAAACTAATGTTTCAATGAAAAAATAACGGTTTGGGAATAATTAACCAAACGGTCTCAAGGGTGCAACTATTAAAATCTTATCGGACAACCAGCTCTTAGGGCTGTTCAAAGCTTAGACCCCAAAATTAGTCTGGAATTGCCCAGATGCCCTAAAAAACTGGGATCCACAAATAGCCTAAAGCTGCAGTTGCTACCAGACAGGAGGGATTTGCAGGTTACCATGCTGGAGACACCCAAGTTAAATAGCCTCGCAACGAAAGTTAGGTCGAAAATATCTTTTGTCCAAAATCACTTGTATGGCATAAATAATAGCCATATTAAAAGGGAACTAGAATGTTGAAAGTGCACAATATCATCTAAGGAGCCGAGCATGAGGGAAGAAAAAAAATCGCAAAAACATTCAAATGAGAGAAAGAGGAAATCCTCCCCAACAGGAAATAATTAAAAATCTTAGGCATATTTACTGTACATGCTCCAATGAGGATTAAGCACAGAGTAAATGTCATTTATGAAAACAAAAAACAAAAGAGGCCGTAAGTGAGAGCCCTGAAGAAAAGTCAAATCTTGGCGTTTCACCCCAAATTGCCATTTTGCAAAGTTATCGATAGTTTAATCATATTATACGTTCTGCTCATCTAGGCTAGGCTGCATAAACCGTTTATAACAAGAAAAGGTTAACAATTGTAAAAAGTGATGAAATTAGAAATTGAGAGAAACCCAAATCTGGGCGTTTTGCCCCATTTTCCAAAGATATCAAGATTTTATTCGTATTATACGTTCTGTTAGTCTAGAATAGGCTGATTAAACAGTTTATACCATAAGAAATTGTTAACAAATTTAAAAAGTTATGAAATTAAAAAATGAGAAAAACCCAAATCTGGGCGTTTTGTCCCAATTTTCCATTTTACAAAGTTACGAACATTTTATTCATATTATAAGTTCCACTCGTTTGCACTAGGCTGAATAAACAATTTATACCATAAGAAAGGGTTAACAATTGTAAAAATTAAAGAAATTAGAAAATGAGAAAAACCCAAATCTAGTCGTATTGCCACACTTGGCGATTTCCCAGTTATCGATATTTTAATCATATATGTTCTGTTAGTCCAGACTAGGCTGAGTAAACAGTTTATAACATAAGAAATGGTTAACAAATGTAAAAAGTCATGAAATTAGAAAATGAGAAAAAAAATCGTTTAAAAGATTCAGAAAAATTGATTATTTGGAATCTATTTTCCAGATAAGAGTGAAACCAGCAGAGAAGACTGGCTTAAATACCATATGCCTCCAATCGCGCAATCAAAATGTCATGATGGACAGTCAAACGTTTTAGCATAGTCTGTTTATGTTGAATCGGCGTAACAGTTTTTATCAAATGCATCTAAACTGCGCAAAAATTAATAGGGATATTTTAATTTATTCTTATTCTAGTCATTTTAATTAAATGAACCGATATATTTTTGTTAGTTGGATAAAGCAAAATAGAAAATACAAACAAAAAAAATCCTTAATCCTCATATTTTATTTAACGGTTTAGGCGTTGGGCGTGGACACGGCGCTCATCACTGTAAGGTAAATGTCCCGGGTTCGAATGCATGCCGCTGGATTTACATACTTACTGAAATACTTTACAAATGAGCTTTTTTCAAAAACACCGACTCCTTGAGGGACGAAAAAACCCCGGATTTATTTAAGAATAGCAAAAATGAAGATTAGTCATTTTGTAAACAAACACTTTTTCTTGTCTTTTCTCAATTTTAATCCAGTTGTATTCTCTTTAACCATGGAAAGACATCATCTTGAACCATAAGTTCATAATGTTACTGTGAGAATGAGTCATCTAAGTCACGAAGTATTCCAGAGGCAGTCAGCATTTCTTAGAGCGTGTCTCGTCGCGTTTCTGTCCGTTAATGGAACTCACAGACAGAAACGCAACTAATCAATAATATATATTCGTAATCGTTTGTGGGAATTTGGCCTTACATCGTATGCCCCTTTAAGACGACCTGCAGCAACAGCTCGCCACCAGCAGCGCAGGAGAATATGGTGCAGCAAGTGTCCAGAAGAGGACACCAATTGGAATGCTGTTGTGTTTACTGATGAGCCGGGTTTCTGTCAGTATAGTGATTGCAGGAAAAACTCACAGACAGAAACGCGACTCGTCAATAAACATAATGACATTCCAATTGGTGTTCTCCTCTAGCCTATCGCTATATTCCCCTGAGTTGCTGATGGCGGGCTGTTCCTGCTGGTCGTCTTAAAGGGACACACGATGTGAGCCCAACGATGTTGTTGTGAGCCATGTTTGTGTTGATGGCCTTGCCAAAACATCTTGGACTTCATTTAGGATCTGGCGGGCACTATGGAAAGGGATCTGCCTTGCTGCAATGATAATATTTCTATTCTTCTTTAGCGTCGAAATGCGCTGAAATGCACTACCAGACCGATTGGCACTTCCACTCTCTCGGAATCGGGCTAAAGCCCCGGAGACCACACTTTGAGAAACGCCAAATGCCTCTCCGATATCCACTTGCCGGTGTCCTCAATCCTCACAATAATATTGCGAACTTCTGGTTCAAGATGATGACTTTCTATGGTTAAAGAGAATACAACTGTATTAAAATGGTGAAAAGACGAGAAAAGGTGTTTGTTCACAAAAAGTTATCTTCATGTTTACTATTTTTAAGTAAATCCGTTATTAAAAACGAGGTTTAACAACTTTTTTTTGTATTTTCTATTTAGCTTTATCCAGCAGCAGAAACTTTACGCTATTGTAATGCTTCTACATGTTTCTCAGGCCTTCGACAAAGTACGGCATGAGGGATTATTATACAAATTAAAATTATTTTTACCCCAGGCCTGTTATCTGATTACACAATCATAACTTAAGGAGAGATTTTTCGCGGTAAACCAGGGTATGGAGAGTAGAGAGATGGGAGAAGTGCTCCCAGGTGTGCCACAAGGGTCAATACTCGCTCCGCTGTGTACACAATTTTTATGTCTGATAAGCCCACAAATGACCATACACTTACCGCCACTTACGCATATGACACCGCCATATTTCCAAATCATCCTTCCTCTACACAAGCTTCACTTACGTTACAAAACCACATATCAATAATTGAAAAATAGAGCAATCTTTGGGAAAAAAAATTGTAACTCCTCAAAGTCACAACATATAACTTTTCCACTCCTCCGTGAGATTTGTCCTATCATATACTACATATACAATGAACCTGTTTCTCAATCCGACAAAGTTAAATATTTAGGATAGAAGACTAACTTGGATTCACACACACGATTAAAAAACTTTAACAAACGATTTAAAATGCTTTGTTACCTACTCGACCGACAATCAAAATTACCATGTAAATCAAAACTTTCGACATACTCATACCTACTCAAACCTATTTGGATGAACGTGTGCCAAGCTTTATGGATTGCCCAAATATTCCAATATTCAAATATTAGAAAGTTTTCAATCCAAAATTTTAAGACTAATTTTTTATGCTCCTTTTTACGTAACCAATAACAGAGATCTTCATACGCCAACGGTTTTCTCATCCATCAAAACATATCACAGACGTTTTCATAGTAAATTACAAAATCACACTAACACACAAATACTCCATTCCTCACAATTACCATGTAAGGGACTGAAAAGAATATGGTAAGAGCAATCTTAAATGATTAATATAATTTTATTAATCCAGACAGGCTGCTAATGGGCGGCTTTCTCTAAAACGCACGTAATGCCACAAACATAAATTGAAATCCAATCTGCTGGTTGTTCATAATAGATGTACAATTGTAGATAAAAATAAATGAAGACAAAAAAAAAGCTTTACCCAATTAACAAGAACATATCGGTTAATTTAATTGAAATTAATAGAGTAAGAATAAATGACAA